GAAAAATAATGCTTCTCTTGGGCCCTGAACCATAGCCCCTGAACAGTAAAATCCAACTTAAGGATGGCCGTAACATAAAATTTAGGCAGATATATTAAAGTGATAAGCTACGATTATGTACGTTATAAATATATGTACTGTAATGGAAGAGCAGGGACAAGTACACCCGTCGCGTAAAAATTATATCAAAATAGAATTGACAAGTGCGGTAAGCAAACATTTTACGGTATATAGCAGCAGTCATTCTTATTATAAATTTTAAATAAAGTCAAGATATTGATATAGCATTCTACAATATACTTACCAAAATGATATCCATCAGATCATTTCCGCAAAGATAGAAAAGAAATTGCTATACTAATTACGCATGCAGAATAATTGACGATTTACTTATATTAAATGTTATTTGCTAACATATATATGGAATTGGGAATGAATCAGATATGTAAATGTCACTATTTTTATTTCAATAGGGATACACCCTCTGTCGCTTGATCTGATTGTTTTAATTGATAAATAGTTATTTTAAAATACAAGAATTAAACAAGCCTATACATTAATCAATAACAAATATTAAGAGTGTAAAATAATGATCAAATGGAAAAAATTGCTGTGAAATATATCATTTCATGACTGCTTAGCCGCTAAGAGCATCACACTATATACTTAAATATACTGTAAGCTCAGTGCTTACTCTGAATTATCTTAATTATTAACTCCATCAAACAATAAATTGTTTCATTTCAATTTTCAATACATTTCATAAAATGCCAGTAGCATTGTTCAAGCTCTAGTAAGGCCTATTTTCACACAATACTCGGCTCGCAGTAATTGTTTTCTATAAGTAATAGGATATGACTACACCGTAATTCTATGCTGTCTATCATTCATGTTCACCGATACATCTTTACTAGGATCTGCATGTAGATAATACGATATCACACATACCATGATGATATAAAAATTGGAATTGCTTTTCTTAGTGTAAACCAATATCGAATACCTAATTGGACGTCGCTAAGAGTAAATTATATTATACATTTCTACTTTATATCAAAATAGACTCAAGCTTAATGCATATTATTAATGCCACACATAGATTCAATTAAATGAAATTTAGGTAGAATTCATCCATTTAGCAGATTCTTTAATAGTTCATGCAGCTACTAATTGTTCTTGATGAGAACAATTTCTTAATATTTAGTTTTACAGAGTACTATTATGAATATACCGAATTATAAACCTATTATGCTTTAACGAGTCAAAAAATCGAAAATATAGGTGCAATACCCGTAATAAGATAAAATTATGTCTACTATACTATCACATTCACATATTCAAGAATAAAAAATCATGAGTGTAAGATTTGAAAACATGATCGATTGTAATGTACGACATTAGTGATATCAATCTTGACGCACCGGAAATAATTAACAGTAGAAAAAGAAAATAAAATCATAACATTATTACTTCTTTAGATGGGATTAGATCATACAGACTTTTAGTGCTCAATCATATAACAGATGATAATCAATTAGACAGATGTGCCATACACATCTACATCATAATCAATCAATGATATCTATTCGTCTCTCAAAAATATATCTTAAAACTAACTGCAATATTCAATTACTATCATATAACAGATGATAATCAATTAGACAGATGTGCCATACACATCTACATCATAATCAATCAATGATATCTATTCGTCTCTCAAAAATATATCTTAAAACTAACTGCAATATTCAATTACTAAATTATTATACCAGCAATCTTTAATAATTGCTATTCAATTCTTTTTTAATAAAGAAACTTAAAACAAATCAATAAAGCAAATTAACAATATCGCCATGTATACGTCATATTATCTTCCGGAACGTATATACAGCTTCAATTAGATTTCGGTATTGTTCATAACAACCTACAAAGATAAATTAGACGTATGACGCGTACCGCTTCATACTGTATTCTTCTAAACAAAAGATTAATGTTTTAAAAATTCCTAGAAATTACAGTCAAGTTGTGTAATAAAACATTCTTCGATAGACTTTAAGTTAGCAAATACAATTTAATTTTAGATGATAGATGAATCAAATTTACTCAGTATATTAATTATTCTATAAGTTTTATACAGTAATGATAACAATAGCTGACATTAACATCATCGGAATGATAGCTAATGCTTACAGTATTCAGAAAATATTAATAATCGTATTGTAACAAGTTCCCGAGCAAATGTAGAGACAACGTATTAGCAAAGAATAGAACTTTATTAAGACTTATAAGTGCAAACTAATAAAGTATGACAGCAACGTTCATATATATAGTCTATCATGGAATATTCTAGAACTTATTAGTAGATATTATAATATACATAGACTGAGTATTCTAGAAGGTTCTGCATGTATATGAGGTTCAAATGCGTGCGCATCTAAGACTGACTCTTACGAAGTCACTCTACTAATACTATGACACGTACATTGACAATTGTGATATATACCGATCATGAAATCCCAAATTTAGAAAAATAAGGGCTTTATTGAATCTTATACAAAGATTAACTACACATAGCTCTACTCTAGCCGAATATTACTACTAATGACTTCTACAACGAACTAACTGAATAATCTAAAGTTGCATGCCTTTATACTTTTCGTAGCATTCGCAGCTACAATCCGCATGGCAACCTTTTACCTTATTTTACATATAGTTAAATTATTCTTAGTAACACTATTCTACTGCGGACCATCATTAATCCGATATGGATACGACTACAGTATTTACGTAGACATTATTCACACCAGCCAAAGTACAATGAATTGAGCATATCCTAATATACGATTTACGGTTCTATTGTTACCTATAACCTTATTAGTAACTCAACACCTTACTGTATATAGTCATCTGTACTTTAGCATAGAGTCTATACCACTACAGTCTATAGTTATGGCTACCAAATATCTCTTAGGATAAAAATAGAAGTTACGCTACTGTATATTACACTAAACATGGCTAATAGTCTACAATCACAATGCTAAGTTACATTACAACAATATTTACACACTGATAAATCATTTATCATCGACAAAGTCCCTAACTGCTAATAATATAGTATATACCGCTATTATACAGGGATGCAAAGAAATTGTATTAATGAATTCACTTATGGAAAAGATTTGTCTTATATTCGTAATAAGCACGATCTATCCTAACTAATTACAATTAATAACTGATTTTTTAAGTTAAAGTTTGGATCTAAAGCAACTTACGGTAGTATTGAGATAGTAGACTATCGGTCATGTTTAGTATGATGTATAAAATATTCAAGTTATGTATCGGATTAAAAGTAAGTCGCAATCTATTTTATCATTTATTTCTTCAAGTTTACAAGACTGCAATGAATTAAAAACTCCAGGTAAATATCAAAATATCTAGCTTCAACTACGAAAGAAACCTTTGGTAATTATCAAGTTAATATTTATTTAGAATTTAGCTTAATCATTGTGAATTAAAATTCATAATTAAAAAATACACATCAAAAAATCAACGTACATTTATAGCAAAAATATTAATGCTAACCATAAGATCCCAAATATCAGAAGATTCTATCTATCTGGCTTGTTAAACCTTATATACCTTATATACATATTTATATATGTTATACATAACGTTTGTACGTAAGGTTTCAAATGAAAATGGACTGCATAATTCCCCATTGTAATACTGGGCAGTTACGAGAATCTTATCTATTTAATAGAACCGTGATAGTGAAATTAGGAAAAATCTTTCGTGAACTTTTAGATCTAACTATATCAATTATTAATATTTCTATCTAATAATTAAGTCAATTCGATATCTAAACCTGCAATGATTATTTTATAAACTTAAATGTACAGCCTTATACACTAGTATTCTGGAAATTTTTGAGGAAAAAAATTTAATGAATATGCGAAGTAAAACCTTACAATAAATCTGCACACATTATATGTAACTACAATGACTAGATATTAATCTCTTGGGCTAATTTTGTACGTATTGATAGACTATTTCTCCATAATTTTATATCTAAAATTTGATATATATCAATAAGGCGTGATTGATTGTACAAAATCAATGTCCGAAGCGATCCTTCACTCCATTATTCTATATGTAATGCCATATTGATGATTGCAAGCCTTTCTTAGGCTAAATGATCCAGTATAATTTTACTATTACCGAAATATCCTTTCTGAATATCAGTCTCTAAATATAGTGCTTAACGTAAGTTAAAGATAGCAAATTATTGAGAATCTGTAGGATTAGGGATGACTGTTCGAAACATTTCTTAAACAGATTATAGCGCCCTAATAAGTGATTTAGGGAAAGATATATAGATTTAGTATTTTTCGTTATTTTTTGATAGAGCTGGTTCATGACATATAAATTTAATGAAATGATGATTTTCCATGAGAGACGACAAATACTAATTTTCTACATTATTGTAGACTATTTTATTCATAAAAATTGGGACAAGGCACTGATTGTATTATTAGAAACATTATTATTAGTAACGTAGAAATGTAAGATTAATAACGTTTCTAAGGCTTGGAGTGATTAGCATTATCATACGGAGGACTGAGTTGTTAATTAGCTTATTATTAAGTGCGAGATATTACAAGGCCATAATTATCGATTTACTAATTTCATACTAATCTTCTATTCGTAAGTCTTATATAAATTTATGGTAACCTAATATAAAAGTTTTATCTAATGTGCACCAGGTGATTTATCTAAAAGCCATATAAGACCGGTGCCTTATTAGTTTGAGATAAGTGCTCGAGTTATAATATGTCAGGGGCTTTTAATATCCTATCTGTCAAGATTAACTTTATGGAATAAATGTTTAATGTTCTCAAGCTGTTTCTCCAACTACCGTTGTACAGGCTATATCGATACTAGTAATTAGTCGGTAGAATTAATTACATCCTTATACAGCCAGTTCTATGCTGACTTCTGTAGATGCATTTTTAGTAGTGATTGTCTACATATCGCACTTGTTCGCGACACTAATATACAATCTGTCTATGCTAATGAATCGCTTCTAATAATACTGAATAAGTACATGTGCTAACAAAGGAAATTGCCTAACAGATAAATATGGTACTTTCTCCGAATTATATCTTTATTTTAATGATAATATGACATATAACCGATCTCAAAATTTCCAAATTTGTGGAAAACTCGGACTTTATTCGATCTTTGTGCAAAAAGTAACTTGCACACAGCTCTGCTCTAGTCTGAATATAACCACTAGAAAGACTTCTAAAAAGAATTTAGAAAGCTGCCTACTTATATGCGTATACTTTCCGTAGCGTTTGTGCAGGGATCAGCATGGCAACATTCTACTTAAGTTTATACATGTTCGAATTATTAATAGTCACAACACTTTACAACGCACCATCTATAATCCAATATATTAGTTACATATCTAGCTCTGCCTCGAATATCAATGATGACTCAACAGTCAATACCCTATTCTATGGTCATATACAGTATATTTTAGCATAGAGTCTTTTTTAATTACAGACTATAGCTATGGGCTATTAAATAAGCCTTTAGATAAATGTAGAAAGTTACACTACCATACATCATGCTAAACATGGCTAATGGTTTACAATCCAATACCAAACTACGTTACAGGCGAATGCTGGATATAGTATGCTATGAAAATGTAACTGCTCTAAAAATTACTTCAATTTATAAATCGATCAAATTTTATTTAAAAAAAGAGGAATTTTAGGGTATTCTTAATTTAATTCCATGCAATTGATTAATTATTCTTCATAGCAGGATAACGAAATGGGAAGATTTAAGATATCAGAGCAACACTATAATAGAGATTGTGACGCTCAATTCTTAATCGTATTATAATTATAATAGCAAGTCCTATAATTTCTCATTTCTGAGACAAATGCATGTAGCCTTAATGAAGGTGATCTAATAATTATCTTAAAAGTAATCTTATATTGATATATACCTTAAGGTTACGTGATATAAGTTATTGATTATTACTATTACAAGAAAGTACAAATTTGTAAAATAAAGCAATTATTTCTGAAAATCAATTATGTAGCTTATCAACTAAAGAATATGCGATAACTAAAGAAAACGTACAAACAATTTTTTACTAATATTTATTAGAGTATTAAAACATAAATCAAACATTGCTCAAGTACTAAGCAGCAGATTGCCAAAAAAGAACACTATCGACAATACATTATGAATCGATGAGATGATAGCTCAAGATGGACTGGTTCAAAAAGCATAGAAATTACGGATCTAAATTTGGGTGGTTAAAATTAACAAAAGCTATTAATTCATGTTCCATGAATAAATGGGATTAGTACAGTTTATAAGTTCACTTCTCTTGTCAGTGTTACCAAACCCAAATATAGCAAACATTATTTTCAATTTCATACTAACATATTTGAAAAAGTGTAAAAGATACCGATTGTATAATGAAATATCTTCAAATTTTATTCCAAAGCCCATATTTAATGATGGCTAACAACTTCATTTCTTTGATTACCGGTACTCGACAAAGTAGGATGATCACATGCTGAAGCTAAGGTAGAAACACTAAAATTTATAATGAATAATAAAGTGAATGGTATTAGATTACAGTTCTAAAATTAAATTGTAAGTATTATTATGATTAATATTCTTATTAACAAAAGTGAGTATCAACAGCATTGCGGTGATTCCATTTAATCAAAGTATATATTGTGAAAGGACATTTGATCATATTAAAATGTACATATATACAAAGTAGCTATCCCTGTTTTACTAACCTATTAGCCGATCCCTCTCTCAATTCAGCTATCAATTTAGCGTTATGAACAGAAAATTACATTTTTAGCTACTCGTTTATTTAAAATATGTACTCGATAATCGTAAAATCTATAAATATATCTAAGCTAGCTATCAGTAACAAGAATAAAGGAACAGCTACTATAGTCTAGCATATGCAATTATTTTAAATCAATCATGGTTACTGCCAAACGAGCGAACATATTTATATCTGGTACCTGGCATCTTATTCAAACTGGTCGAATATCTTTCGATTCTCTTACATCGACGGGACATATTCTCCGCAGAAACTGGAAACTTTGCTACTATACCATGTTCGTTCAAATGCATATTTTTACCCTAAATTGAAAATTGAAAAGAAAAAATAAGTGTATTATATTAGTCCTGTAAATTAATAGTGATATTCAATCACGTAAATCATAAACTGATATTGACTTAATTTTAAGTATCACTTAACCTATCGTTTAATTATCTTATCAGCTATATTAGATCGTAAATCTTGCATAGATACAAGTTAGAGCTGAATTATGTACGTGGCATTTAACAAATTAAATAGTAATAAATCGCACTCGAACATCTTTATTAGCTTCGCCCACGGTATAGCTTGGAAAGATCATTGAACCGAATTTGAATTTTGCCCGAATATAATCTCGCACCTAATAGTAATTGAAGTAATCACGACATAAATTGGTAACACTTTTATCAGTTTAATCATTAGTCATTCTACCCTTTTAATGTACGAGTTCTATATTCTTTACATGTACAGCATTCTCAGTATGGTATCGACATTGATAGTAAATAATCTTAAATCTTTATTTAAGTAAATATATATGTGCTGGCTACGAAGTAAGATACTAGAAACTTACATTTCGATCTCGAAAGCAGTGAAAGTAAAAGATTAACAACCCCTAAAAGAAGTATAAATCACCACCTCATCAGTATGAAAAAGTACCGTAGAATCGGCAAGCTTAACTTATACATGTAGGACTGACCACACTCTTAAACTTAATTTGTAGTTGGACGACGGATGAAAACTTACCTGTGGACAGTTCAGTATTGTAAACAAGTAAGCGAAAACGATATCATTTGTGGAATAAAGTAAGATACCAAATATCCAAGATAAGCCAAAGAGAAATGCTAATGAAGTCACAGCTTTTATTCCAGCCCTGCACAAAATTAATTAAAAGATTTCGATTTGATCTTTCGTATTACTTAAGATTATTCAGCTATCAGTAATATAGAGCTTCAGTCGTAATAAAATTATTCATAGCTGTCAGAGATTTCTTCCACTAAGATAATATAAGATTGTAGCAATTCTCTTTCAGCCTTATTGCAGTATCTGCATCCTAACAATCAAATCCTGGAGTAACTCTTTATTACACTCGTACTTAAACTTTTGAATTTCAGATTTTCGGACCATAGCTTTAATTGAGAAAAGAGACCTGATAGCGGCAGCTGCAATCGTAAAGTTACACTAAAACACCCCATAAAGAAGGAAAATATTGAAACATTACTAACGGATTAGAATACCAATATAAATTCTAGATACTCGTCACTGAATTAGATAAATATGAAAGTAGTCAGATCTTTTAACTAGCTCCATATTTAGCACACAGAAGAGGTCACAACTATCGCTAAAACATATTAATTGCATACAGAGGCTAATCGATAATATCCCATTTATACAGGTTTGAAATTCCTATCGATTATCTGGTTTATAAGATACTCTTTATAATTATTACAAATTTTATTGGTGCATTGACAGCATCAATTGCCTCACCGAAACGACTAAAATAACCGGACCAACAAAAAGCCACATTTGGTAACTAGTACTTTCGATCCAACAACTATAAAAAATGATGGCCATTGATGCTATATTAACTGAAATTGGGTGCATGATCATCATAATTTCGTATTTCGAACTTACTATTCTGAATTACCATAGGCACTTATTCCAGTAGATGCTGAAACAGATACGATTACAGCTGGAAGTGCTAATTTGAAAGATAATTAAAAAATACAATAAATGAGCAAAAATAAGCAATTACATATAACTAAACAATTGTAAGATTAAATAACAGTTATGCGCAAGCTAAAGAATGGCATATCTTAAAACAATCCTAACGATCATCAGAATAACAACCGAAAAAAGAATACTGTCTATTATTAATAAATAATAAAAATTAGGTCATTAAAAGTGCGAACCTGTATTTCATCAAACATTAAAATTTTAAGATAATGATAGAGTTAATTTAATTAACATATTTTATGCCTACCCCAGCCTGAAATAAAATAAACCCGTAGCACTTTCGGATTCATATTTTTACGTAAGGAAGAAATTCTCTGCATGAGTACTATAGCTTCTATCATCATCCATGCTAAACTAGCTAAATAAAAAAAATGTAATCCAACTGCAATGATGGTGCAAAGAAGCTGCAATTGAAGGATAGCAAATCTTATTTTCATTTACAGCCACTTTAAATAAATTAGGATATTATTACAACAAATGCATTGCAATAGATATTTAGATGAGAATCATACTTAAAATACTCATTATAGCAATATCTTATCCATTGAGATATCTTAAATGTATCATGATGATTACTAAGCCTTAAATGATCTATAATATAAATTCAAAAAGTAGATAAATACTAGTGATAAAGTGTCTTGAAAATACAACACGAACTACAGTTTCTTGTAAGCTTCACTTTATTACATAAGATTAGGTTCGTCTCATAACTACCAAGAACTATCTAGCTTCAATAGGACTATCTCTGGACTATCTTTTACAGCGAAAGCTTGAGGTTTATATACCCTTTGTTACAGAATGAATTTTACACATTGTAATCATATCTTGCCAATTAAGTCGCAAGACAACAGTTTATCATGGCGCGAATTATTCATTATTTACGCGTCTAATTAAAGCGCCACAATGCAGCTCTCACAGTACTAACATAATTAGTGCTATCTATTACTATCATGAAATCTTAATATAAACATCTCAATAGTATCAAGACAATACGTATGTAAACCTCTGCTATAAATAGATATCTTCAAAATCATACTATCCAACAAACAAGTACTACTACTCTCGTGCAGTCTTATAATCATAATCCAAGCTAAATTTGGGGCTGCACTACAATACTGTACAACCAAAATACAACAAATAGATCACTCCATCCATGATCGAAATAACTTTAGCATTTATACACATTCCTGATATCTTTCCAATTGAAGACTAATTACCGTTAGTTTTGTAGTTTGCATGCCAGCTAGAAACCCGCAAATGGATACTGCCATGGCTGTAGACAAGTTAAGATGAATAAAATTTTTTGCTGTATATAGTTTCCTACATTAAAAGAGGTTAAGAAAACCGCTGAATTAAAATTTATATCAAGATTGATTGATATTGATATAGTAAATATGCTATGGATTGAGTGATTGAACGTGAGTCATTCAACAATTCCGCAAATATTACCAGAGTTGGTGCATGACTCCTGTAAAACTACAAAGCCGGTGACAAACACAGTATTTATTGTCTAATTGCGTTTAACTTACATCTAATAAACAATCAATAACTTAGTAAATTATTAGCTTATGAGCAATTCTGATCAAAGAAGACTCTGTACAAGTCCCAGCTCTCACAGCTATGCTATGCATTAAGTGATAGATTCAATGAATTTTGAGAGCATCTTTTATATTATAAGTTCTTTCTCGACTGGAAATATTTGCAATAAAACTATTAATAGGAGTATCTTCTATTAAACTTTACTACGTTATACTGTATTTAAAGAACTCGTATTTGTAGTATAAGTTAATAGCACTATCATATTTTGCATGAAGCTCTTCGTCTACGTTAATGATCAGATGCTCATACTTCCACACTATCAATAGTTATATAGCAACAATACTTACTGGGCTAATAAATCGTTATGTTGAACAGATAACTACCGCAATAAATAATATTCATATCACATAATTTTTTATCTGACGGATTTATAATACGATTATAACCCATCTTACTTACTTGTTGCTAATTAATATCATTATCATTATCAGTAAGGCAAATAGTGAAATAGAGTAACCAATATAAGTGATATAGCGGAGGTAAAGATCATGAGGCCCAGTAATCGCCTATAACAAAAATACAATCGATCATTTCAAAGTATGACGTTGAAATTAGTAATACAAATTTTGCGATTTGCTACATTTGCTTTTACATATTCCAAATTAAGCATATTATATCTTTGAGACAAAATGAGGCATAAATTATACAATGGAGAAAAATTATCTTTCGCTCGATTAATTATCCTGTCTGTCATAAAAAATCTAACCTATTCGTAAACTATAGAACTGGATGATAAATTATCAAGATAAAAATTCTTTTTCTGGAACGTAACAAAAGTAATTTTCCATAAAAATGGATTATTCAATGCAGATACAAAGCGGAAACAATGATGAATTGCAACATGCATATAATCATAATAATTTTCAACATATTGTATTGTATCAACGCAATTGTATCACCTTAAACATTTCTATTTTACCTTGGAACTTCGCATAAGGACTGCAAAACTCGTAAAGTGATTGGTAGTGCAATGTACTGTAGTAGAATTATGATCTAATAATTTTATTCCATATTTCAACCATCCACTGCAACATATTTATATTTAATAAAGCATGATCAGTATAAATATAGATAAAACACATCATAATCTTGACTTTGAACAACGATATTTCTAATAATCACAAAGAAATCCAAGATGAATGTCTTAGTCATGATCATTACAGTCAAGAATCCATTTCAGAGAACAAGTAAATAAGATTGATTTCAATTTTAATAAGCACGCAATAGTATTTTAAGCATAACATAAAAACTAGCTGTATAATGCATCTTACGTTTTCTCCCAATATGCACACTGATAAGGTGGGATAGGCTAATAGAAAAATGATCATGAGGTACAGTATTAATAATAATAAATGTTGAAAATAATCAAGTAATCATCATAATTACTTAACTGACCTGTTTGTGTAGTATTTTAAGGTAAAAATGAACCGGTTCAGTAAAATTTTTATCTTGGCGTGGATACATAGAGCAAGACAAGATACTAGAAATAATAAACCTAAGGGAAATATTTATAAAGCAGCTTAATATAGACTTGTATACTGATTAATATCAACAATAAGGTTAAGAAATAAAAATTTTAAGGGAAATAATTACTTTGTATTATATATATATTGGATAAAAGTGGATTACCTGCTAGTAATTTTTTTAGTATCGTTTTGTGCCCAATTTCCTTCTACGTTTAACGATCGCACTACTACAGTAACAGCTTCACCTAGAAATCATTAATAACATCATTAATAAATAACTGCTATCATATACTGTAGTGTAATAAGATTACACAATTGCAATCGTTCGTCTCGCAGGTTTGTACGTATATTAGTATATCATTCAAGATTATGATACGAAATAGGCTAAATATTATTTAGAATTGGATATCGTTTTATTACCTTACCTCAACTTGTTAATTAATATATTGTACGAGTATTTAGGTAATGAATAAAAAATAACCAAAAATATTTGTTACCTTGACCAGATAATTGCAATACTGATTTAGGAATCCTCATTTCTGCTACAGACTTATTGGATAACGATAACGCCATATTGATAGCTGACCGTATATCCGATGCCGAGATCGTTTGAATGATTAATTCTAACACATTCAACGTGAAAAGTTATGAATAACATTAGAGTACGTAACAAGAAATCATATTAATCGGTGATGATGTCCAAACAGCCCCTTTCTACAATAAAAACATTATGCGGAAACTAGAATACAGAGATTTGTACACGTGCAAGCAACAACGACATCATCAAATAACCGGCACATGTTTACAAGCTTGAGATGATAATGCAACCCTTCTTGTGTAGTACATAACAAACTCTAACTAAGGAGAAAATGAAAGTGAATATGACTTAAGAAGGTCGACTGATGTAACTCCAAAAAAGTAGTGTACTGATATAATAGATTTACCGCCATTGTCATGAAATAATACCTGACTGTAAAGTTGAAATTGTAACTTGTGTAGTAATATTGCGTTGATTAACCTCCTTAGCTAAATCTGCATCATATTGCTCAATTTGCTTTAGAACGAATTCAAGGTTCTACAGAATAGCATACAGAGAAATTTCGGTTAAGTGTTTTAGCCGATGGAATATTTTGATTAAGAAACATGTAACACAATCCTTTCATTTCTTCAACCGTGAAGAAACTGATAATTTGGATAATAATTCAGATCACATTTCAAATTTTGAAACTTTTCTATCGCAAAATCTTGAAGTATATCTACATTTGACTAACCTTGTCGGTGCCAGTTGTAATATTCGCAATAAATTGATCATTCGTTGCTTTTATCTTATTAATCTATGAAATAAGAGGAAAATTTAATACGATAACGCTGATTATTTATCAACATTTAATATAACCAAATTGTGCCAGTATGAGGTGAGCTACGTACTCGTATACTCGTAACCGTAAAATCATCCTAAGAGGAATTGTAATTTAATTGTATTTAGTTTAAATTTAATCCCAAACCGGTGATTAAGAAATTTTTAAATCATTAAGAGTAGGTAATCTAACAAGTTATTTGATAATTATGATATTATTTTAAACTTATCATGATCATTTTTTTCCAAAGATAAACTAATATTTCCAATCGAGAAAATATCATTTAATAAGTGACATTAGTACTATTCTAACAGCTTGTTACCTACCGTAGTATTTTTTAAAATCAAAGATAGAGCATTAATCATGTTATCGCTATTATTAACCGTCTTATTAGCCTTGATAAGATCCGGAAAATAGTTTGCATTATTTGGTGGAGCTGGCTGATTTACTGCCATACTTGCCGCAATTTCTATAACTATGATATAATATTAAAAAACAAAGTTAAAGGATGGAGTCTATGGAAATTAGCATCTAGTAATATGAATAGCTAAGGAAAAGATTTATTATAACAGTTTCAAATAGACCCTATGCTATTGATTTGATTATATATGTACCCATATAAAATACAAAATCATATCCACTGGATGGTATCAGTTTATTTTTATTGAGTTGAAGTAGGCTCAGCAAGAATAGTAATTATTGTTGTATAGATCTCATTTATCACTAGTTATGCTACGAATATAACTTAAGAAAAAGCCCCAGAATACTCCAATATCTGCGTCTCATAACTGACAGACCATCAGAATGATAATGACTCCATAGATATTTCACCTGGAGTCAGTAGATATTAATTGAGTCTAATATTCGCATACCTGAAGGAGATTTCCTAGAATATTCTGATGGCTGCATTGCTGCCAATGAAAGTGTATCTAAATGATGGAGTAAATCGGCCGATACATTGCTAGAGAGACCACTAGAAGTTAAATATCTGCAATCATCACTAGCCATTTTATACCCTAAGAAAAATAGCATGCATTACTAATTGGTAGGGATAGAATAAAATAATGAAGGTCGTATCTGAATTTATTAAATCTAATTTATTAAAGCCGTGGGCATTAAAGTTTCTCTACTTGAGTTAAATATACGGTATAGCAGTATATCGAAATTAGTATATCTCATGAGTAGCTAGAGTATATCGTGACGTAAAGTAGAACAGGAATTAGAATTAAATTTTGAATTATACGTACCGCAGACAGACGACATTAACAGATCTGCATGCGTACTAGAGTTAAGATCGGAACCAGTGATGACAATGGCGAGCGAAAATTTATCACCCGTAGTCGGACTGGTTGCGAAAAAGACGCTAGAATTGGTATGTACCAACAAATTAGACGATAACCGCTGATTATGGACATCTTCTACATCCCATACACTTGTACTTATATCCAAGATGTCATCTAATAAAGTAAATAACAATCATAAACCATAGGCAAAATTAGAAGTGATATTTTATGAAATTAAAATGAGACTGCAATAAATCCCAGCAAATTACAATAGTAATCGTGTTGAAAGTGTAACAGCAATATGAAGCAAGCACTGTATTAGGTAGAATTGCCTTTTATGCATAACAAAATGATTATAGATGATGGGCTAATATGACGAAACGGAGATTAATCTCACCTGATACCAGCATAATTAATGGATTCTGGTATACACTGGAACTAACTTGTGATTTGTAATCGATAGAAGCGGTCGATGGTGAGTAATTCGTTACACCCGAAATTAAAATAGTAGGACTACTACCAGCCCGAAAGGTAGTCGAGGAAGATTGAATATTCAGAATCTCTAGTTCGCTTAAACCTATACTTTTTAAAGCAGATTGGACATTGAAACTTTCTTGATCGTCTATCACTGCAATTGTCGAAGCAGATTGGACGTTAGATAGTTCTTGATCTTCTAAAACTGTACTAGTTGAAGCAGATTCAATATTGAAAGTTTCTTGATCGCTTAACGCTGTACTTGTCGAAGTAGATTGGACATTAGATAGTTCTTGATCGCTTATAACTGCACTAGTTGAAGGAGATTGAACATCGAAAGCTTGTTGATTATCTATGACTGTAATTGTCGAAGCAGATTGGATGTTAGATAATCCTTGATCGTTAATAACCGAACTTGTTGAAACAGATTGAAGATTGAAAATGTCTTGATCGCCTAACACTGTACTTGTCGAAGTAGATTGGACATTAGATAGTTCTTGATCGCTTATAACTGTACTAGTTGAAGCGGATTGAACAGTAAAAGTTTCTCGATTGCTTATTATTGTGCTTATCGAAGCAATATCTGAGGTGACATCAATAGTGAAAGTTAATGATGATATAGAGGATGCTAATGGATCCTCAAGCGTGCTTGAAATAATATTAGTATACGCAGTAGTAGACGCCAGCAACGGCAAATCACTTGTTTTCGATGTTATAATGCCAGAACTATTCGCTAAAGACATTACGAAATGATCTTCATATAAAGTTGAGCCAGTATTAGCGTTTGAAGTAGTCGAACTCAACAATTCTAATTCATTAGCCGTAGTGGAAAGGAAAGTGCTAGTATTACTAGACGGAATAGTCGATAATAACGGACGATTTATTTGGCTAGTTCCAATATCAGACTGAGAAGTTGGGGAAGGATATAGATTTAATCGGCTAGAAGCAGTTGTTGCTGAATTAATATTGTTACTGGTTAGCGTAAATATCATTGATGAGGAAATCAATTGGCTAGTAGAAACATTACGGCTTGCTGAACTTGTGCTAATTGCGGTCGTGATAGGGTAAGTAACATGACTAGCATCAATTGGTTTTTGACAAATGTATACACAATCATAGTCACAGCCATAATCACACCAAGTTGCTTGAACAATATCAGTGATCTTTGAAATATAAACACATCCTTTAGCTAAACTTGATGGACAGGTTAACGACCAAAATGCTGAACCAGTTGTAACGTTTTGACCAGTCGCCAACCAATGATAACTATCTAACTGGTTGTTCCCCACAGTATCTTTTAACCCAATCCAGTGGCAAGTGTAGAGTGTTAGTAGATCTTCTAGCCCATTATGAATTACATTGCTATTATCAACTACTAAATCACCACTAGGAAATGCCTGACAAGCAGTTCGAGCATCATCAAAGTCTTTCACGCTCCCAAAACGCTTAAAACAATACTTATCGATTTTTGTCCATCCACTCTCGCAGGCATCTATTCAATTTAGAGTGGGTCATTAGCTGAAATATGTAATTTCTTAACAGTTACTTAACATATTGTTCTGACAGGTCTATCAAATGGTAATACTATCTGTTAAATGAGCACATTATCGTAAACCGTCTGCAAAGCGACGGGAGTTTGCACTAGTCATTAATAAAAAAATTATTCTTCCGACATTCAACCGCAGTTTATCGTATTGCTTGAGTTTTACAATCTTGTACTTCTGCGGCCTTATATGCACATAATACGAATAGTATAAGTACATCGTTTCATCACCAGCAATCATGAAATTACCTTATTAGAATAGTAGTATTCTACTTTTTAATGCTATTGTACTTCAATTACTACTGTAATTAGGTGGAACTACTACATTTATGCAACTCCAGATTCGAAGATTAATTGAAACTGCTGTTATTTTTACGACATGCTCTCAACTGAAGTAAGCTAACCTCTTGAAATTATAATCATATATATCAATAACATAATCCTTTCTTAGTCTGTATGCTTGCTAATTTAAACTCATTTTTAAATAGCATCTATGGCGATCTACCAACTCTGATAGCCCATCCAAAACGATACTACGCAATAATTATGTTCTCCTTCAAGTTTACTCAAGGCCAAGCGTTAGGTAACGAATAACATACTACGAACATGATACAGTACAGACATCAGCATCAGCATCATGATCAAAGTCAAAAATAGGAAGAATCTTCATTTGGTAGGCATCTGTCATACTGTACGGTAATTACCATCACTCAAGATTATGTTGTCGCTAATAGTTTTAAAAGTATTATTAAATAACTTCACTAATAATCATTATTGCAACTTTGATTTAATTAATCAATTTAGGCAATCAATAATGATCTCATTACGCCAAAAAGTAAATTAATTATTCATTATTATATAAATCATAATTTCTAGAAATTTAATCTATTAGTTATTTTACGATTAATCCGCTATCCGTATTATTTAAATCATCTATTGATTAATAGTTTAACAAACCGTCAGCGCTGATGGCAGTTAAGGTTAAAGAAAGGATCTAAAAAAAGATAAAAAATAATGATATTATTTCTTTCAAGGTGAAAAGCCATAACACAATTGATCAAGCTGGTTGGATATTACAAGCCTTCGAAACATTTTTTTAAAATTGCTTTCTAAATATTCAATATTACGATTAGAAGACAAAAATTGGGTAGAAGGAATTTTAAGAACAGGAATACAAAGCAGTAAATACGATCATCGGATACCGTATAGAGTAAATAAGCATCTTATTGATCGAAATTTGGCGTTCTTTCAAAGCGGAAAAAATAATCAATCAATTGTATGTCAATATACAATCTATTAGCAGTTTAGCACAACCTAAAACTAAGAAAGAGAACGCATAAAATGCTATCTATGTGCTATGATATTTAAAATTTCATGCCGAAATTTTCTGAACGCTCGCATTGAATAAAATTTCGTCTTGCGCTTGTTATTGATATTTTTATGTTAGCATTTTTAAATCGTTATACGATAATAGGCAACATTAATGTACGTACGTATTAAGAAAGTAATCTATAAATCCTGAAAAATCTAAGATACATGCCGAGCATAGGTAAATTAAAATAGTATCGGTCTTAAAAGTGAACTAGTATCCATTTGGGTACGATTAAAATACATTAGAATAAAAGTAAAGAGTAGATAGCTTCTAAGTACAATCTTGTTATATCTTCAATCGATACTACTGCACCACTATGAGTAATGCATATTACAAGGCGAGAAGATCTCTATAAACAGTTTTTTGCATTCTTTCTTAAAATGCTCTAGAATAGAATCAAAGTGTCAGCCGTTACGACCAATATTCCAGTCTCATCTGCCATAAAGGCATTCTAATTAAAAAATTTAAATGAAATTTAATATCAGAAATACGAAAAGCATTGAAATTACCAAAATAATTTTCATCAGGTCTGCTAACCAAGGTAGAAGTAAAATAGTTGCAATAGGAATAAATGATGTTGAGATATTAACGATATTCTCGTATCAAAATAATATAGCTGCTAGTAACCATAAATGTTTCAGTTATTAAAATTGCGCTAATAATATTTCACGTACAGTATTCATTCTCACATATCAACAATAACAGAATAGATAATAAAAACCGAAATGAGAGACAGAATTTATTATAGAATATCCAGTATCAAGCCTATATAACAGCCGAAATAAGTAAATAGAATGGATTACACGTCCAAGCATTGACTCTAAAAATAGAACAATAATTATCACCTGTGTTACAACAATAATAGATTTACATTTTCTTTCAATTTTTAATTTGCCCGAAGATATGCGCAATAATTTATCGTTTTTTCTAGCAACAAGCATCTGTCACAATCCTCGCTTGTGGTAAGAATTTGCAATAAACTCTAATGTAGGTACGATAACTCGGGCTACTTCTCTAGTACTTCGAGTCTCCATGTTAGCGATATATGAGAACTTGATTTCTTGGCTGTACACCATAGGCAACTAATTAATTACTTTTTCACGTTGCGACTCCTACACACTTTTTAAGCAATTACTACTTTTATTTTACAACCATGCGCACTCAAATCAACTTCTACGGCTCAATTATTACCATCTATTATGCTGTTCAATCTGCAGTAAATTAACATGCAATAGTTTGCATTTAATATCACAATTCTACCATCCAAAGTACTAACTACAAACCTAGCAAAAATTTTACATCAAACATAACATTTGACCTTATTTGGGCTATTCTAAGGTATTCATTATTCGAATATTAACTAGTAATACTTAATTGGTAACGCATTATCGTGACAGCATCATATTCAGTCTTATTAATTAATCATGCGTATGCAATGCTGTCTTCCATATTAAGACCCTACATTTAATTATATTACTATATCATAAGCTATGATGATATAAAGTCGAAATTACCTATCATACTGCATGTAAATTTTGCACCTATAACGGTAAGCAGCAGTAATAATTTGTGTTCTATTTTCCAAGTGTGTACTACATTAAATCAGTTTGGATTTAATATCAACACCTCACAGTGACTGTGTGCCGTTATAAATATGTGTAAAGGCGCTCTTAAGATATAAAAATTATCCAATGACCTTGCGACAGTGTTATATACTGTATTAGAGTAGAAATATCTATGTTAAGATAATTTTGTTAGACTATCCTTATTTAGTTAACTTCTAATTTGGATATACTGTGTTTTAATATAGCACTGACTTTTTATGACAGTGACACTTACACACGTACTGAAATTAATAGTTATAATAGGGAATGCAAATCATCTACTTACAGTTCAAATCATTGTGATTGTAATTTACTTATGATAGATTGTAAATTATCATGGAAATATTCCGTGATAGGATATATCGTAATCTGACTATTCTGTATTAGTCATCACATGTCTATGTTCGTAAATACTGTTGTCTGCATTAAGGGAGCAGTAGCTAAAATTAATATCCAATTCAGTAAATGATCCCAATGTTAATCGTATTAGCTATGACTCATGAACTATTGAGGAATAGTATATAAATGCAGTATATCGTGTAATAAAGTGGATTCTCAAACTTAGTGTTTAACGTAAAATACGAGGCGTTTAAGTCTTTGTGTAGTCTGCTAGTAGAGCAAAAGTGTTTCTGATAGTGCAGATATCGTTCCTTGATGCGTGGTTCAAGGAATTGTCTTATTTTTCGTATTGCACATTACGTTATCTTATTGCAAAGCTGTTTTGTGACAGACCTCTAGATTCTTCATTTATATACGGCTACTATTTTCTACTGATAGCAAAATTTGCTCAAATTCCTAATCATATTCAAAGAGGGCTAATCATGTACTAAACTTCAACCTGTCATACTTTAAGAAGTATAAAATCAAGTTTGTATATGTAAAATTAAAATAGAATTTGTGCCCCTATATCATTATCTCATAACTGAACAACAGTAGTTCGTCAGATAACTTAAAAATCAAGTTTTATTTGATTATAATAAACAGTACTTTGCAATATTAATCAAGGCATCATTATTAAAAATATTAGTTGAAATGTATGAAACAAATATTGCAACTATGATGGAGGGTTCGATATCTCAGAGGATTGAGATTTAGTCGCCATTTATGATTAATACAACAAAGGGTTTATAAAAGTTATGCTTTATTGTAGGTTAGTAATGTGAAGTACAGTGAGGTAGTTACGGTAGATCAGCGTGCAAGCTGTCGTGAGTAACGAGTAGAAGTATTAGACTGTGAGAGACTAACTAGAAGACTAACTGAGAGGCTAATGAACTCTGTGGTAGAAATCGCCGGTATTTATAGTTTTAAAGATAGAGCACATGCAGAGAATAGGATTGTGGAATTAGATGCAACATATACCATAACAGGTTACAAAATAGCAGATGATTGTAGAAAACAGCGAGTACCGTAATAACTAAATACAGTAGTCTATATATGAATGTAGAGTAAGCGGACTGTAGATCTGTCTAAATATAAGAGCAATACAACAAAATGTCTATATTTAAGAGTAGAATATAGTTACAGTATATTCTAAATACACTACAGCAACCATGATGTTTGATTGGATAGTTACTAGTGCAAACTCCCGTCGCTTTGCTGACGGTTTACGATAATGTGCTCATTTAACAGATAGTATTACCATTTGTCGTACTCAGTAGACCTGTCAGAGGTTCAGTAACTTTATAAAGTGTACTGTGTACTATTTATGAAAAATTTCTATACGGATATTTTTTAGAGGAATTAGTATGATATTACCTATGATATTATGCATAATGGCTACGACACAGGCGTAGACCGCAGAATTAATAGGCAAGTTGAATTTGAACCGCCGAAATAATGCTATTGTTCACTTATTTTGCCTCTGAAAATAGGCACATCAATAATACTGATATACATATACGAACGAGTTAATGGAGATCAGTAAAAGTTATTTCTTGCAACGTTTTAGAATATACTAACCTATCCGGTATCAACGAATTCTTATTATAAGCTCTTCGTTACGATATTGCTCATTAGCTTAATTAAATGCTATAAATGCTATCAGCGACGGAACCATAAATAGTTAGGAATAAATTTGAACTGATTTTCTATTAACATCTGACCTCGAATCATAAACGAACTTGTTAACTAATATTGGATGTATGATCGCATTGTACGGATCTCTGATGAATTATTAATCTACGTCGACTAATGTTAGCTAATTTGATAATATCTTTATGATCTAAACTTCGATATACGTTGCTTAGGCTCCTTTTTCCTGTCATTATCGGAGATAATGATATTGAAACTTTTTTATATTTCCATTGCTGGATTTATTCCTTATTTTTATTTGTATACGAACATCCATTATTATTAACGAAGAACAGACTTCAAATGGTATATGTATTAATAAGATGTACGTAAGATTCATATATATAAATTCAAATTATGCACGTCATTCAATGGGACTATCTTTGTATTTCAAATTAATAATTATTCTACTTTAAGTGCGAATAGTCATAATGAAGATATCTACTGTTAACATTTAGAGAAAATGTAATCGAATATTTGCCGTATCTTCAAACTTGGTAATAATTTATTATTATGTTAGCTATATCTACAGCCAGAAATAAAGCTATTATAATAGATAAGAATACCAATGTTACCGCAACGACTAATGCTATGTATTATTTTACGGAAATAGATAGAAATCACCTCGATGAATTCTCTTATTTTTACTTTCGTCCTGCAAGTAGACAAGTACAATATGTACAGAATAGATTATTTATTCTGATATTTATATGAAAAGTTTAAAACGAGAATAAATTTAATAAATATTGTCTCTGACTAAGTGACGGAAGCATCTTATTTAATTTTTATATTGAGCTTTATTAATAAGTGCCCCTTATAAGAGACAGCAAGGCCTTTCTTTGATTTTATGGGCGCAGTTAGGCTCCATTAATTTCTAACATTTCTGCTAAATGATTAAAAAACTAGATCGGATTGATCTGGAATGATTCTTATTATGTATCTACGTTATTATTTTGCTCAATAGTAACTACGATATTGAGAGTTACACAGCGATCACATATTAATACTAAATAATATATACTACATCCAATTTTATCTTACCATTATAATCACTTTTTTTTTATACCGTGCATATTAATTCTATTATGGACTTAAATATATGATTAATGAAATTTTAAAGAAAAAAATGATGCTATTCGTGCATTAGCATTGTTTCATAGTACATCTGATCACAATATATAATTAATTATGATGTCTAGACACTAATTAGTCTCCTCCTGTAATATATATTGATCGTTACTGTTCACTTTATATCTGAAATTTAACGTTCGTTAGTTAGCCGTAACTGATTATGCGAAACCATAATTTGAAACCACGTTTTGTTGACTGCAACTTTCAATATTAAAGATAACAGAAGGAAAAAATTGTAGCAAGCAAATAAACTCGCATAATTAGGCTATTTTAGAGCAATAGATTTCAGTAGCTCTAACATATCATACAGTACAGTATACTAGTCTGTAACCCATCTCAAATTTACTGATTTTGATTTTATCTAAGAATTTATAAGGTAAAATATGCTTAAATGTTAGGATATTTGTGAAATTAGTTCGTAATTTATATATTACTCAAGAAATAATTAATATCAAAGTGGTTGTACTGCCAATTAAGTAACAATCCGATAATATTTCCAGTTTCATATAAGTATCATAGTCAAAGTGCAGATATTTTTTAGCTGCTGCAGCCCCCTGCCTTAAGAGCATAATCGGTATCTTGAGTTAATCCATATATATGGTCATGGACTAGTAGAAATTACTACTTGTGTAGTTATTTCTAGTAATCCATAGTATGATAGTAGTATTAATTTCACTCTAGTAGTCGAAGTATATAACGTGTAATATTAACTGTTTGAATATCCTACTGTCGCAAATTGATTATTCCTAGCGAAATTCTTACAGTATCTTATTTTGGAAAATAACATAACTTGCTCTTTGCTGATATGACTATTATCTGCTATCTCATACTTTTGCAGGTAAACTGTATACTTTAATAATATGATCTAAATTCCTAATATCCATGTATGATTGTCAGGCACGGTACTGTATGATCATATCATGATTTCTACTGCATATTTCGTCTTTAGCTGTTGCTGCTACCCATCGTACTTTGCTGTATATGTTTACGTTTATTAAATGAGCATTTAAGGTAGTAGATTACTTATAGACTTTTAATTTACGTTCCCTTATCGTAAAAGTTAGTTTATTACCTTATTAAATATGTTCAATTATCGCATAATAATTAAGTTTATCGTAATGCAAAGCTCAGTCACGAAATCGGATATGTCAATTTGTAGACGTACAAGTAGATTTTTGTAATGGGCAATTAGAATAACAGTTTCAAAGTAGTAATATAGCTTAATTTTATTTAATCTAGTCAACGAATCAATCCATCCTGCTTTCTGAACTCTTAATGCTGTATTGTTAATAACTAAGCCACAAATCAGTCCCAACCACTTCGAAATATCGTATATACTGTTCTCTAAAATTTATTTTCCGATATCAATGTGATATCTAGCGAAACAGATAAACTTATTAATCAATTAAAGACCCACAAAATGGGGAATTATCTTTATTAAGCAATTGAGGATACTTCTATTGCAAACGATCAATCGTTCAGATTTTGATAGCTATAATCACGATAATATAGCAATTTATTGTACCAATACTGATTTAAAAATCGTTTCCATGACCATAGTTATCAGTTCAACAGTAATTAATACGCGTTGAGATAACGTTTTTTCTATTTAAGTACTCGTTATTTATGTATATCTGGTATATTTGTAACATGATAAAATAATATACATTTAGATTGTATTGGAAACAATAGTAAAAGTATCTATATAATTTGAATTCAGCTATAATTTCATATCAGAAATATTGATAATTTCCTATTATAATATTTACAGAATTGCATTTCAATAAAGATAATCGGAGCAGTCTATATCTACTTCATACATATATATGTATGCAGTAATAACGTGAGTACCGTAGTTACTAAATTTTACTGTCAGGGAATATTTTAATGAATTCATTTTTACCTTCTTCTTTAATCCAGGTCAACTAAGCTAAATCATTCAAAACTGAGATCCTTGTCGATGATTAAGTTATAACTGAATAGTCTTATATTACTAATAAGAGAGTATCTCCAGAAAAACTACTCTATTTTCTAGCCCTATTTAAACTTATTGAAATACAGTTGATCTATACTGAATTGCATCAAATTATTAAAGTGATAAAATATCGCAAGATTTTGCTATATGTAAGCCATAATCTACTAGTCTCTAACATCGTTGCACATATGAAGAAACTAAATATGTAGAATAAATAAGCAATAAAGAATGATGATTAGTATTCTACGAGCTATATAAGCGAGGACTTCTGAGAGAAGTCTTTGATATAAGTCTGTGATAAAATATATCAACGCTTAAGTATTCTCAACAATTAGCAATCGTCAATCTTGTTAATATCAGTAACTGACGCCTTAGAATTCTGTGATGAGTTTTCGACTCCAATGCTCCATCTGTCATAATTCAATTATTATCGATATTAGTTTTAACTTATTTAAAGTATGTGTAATATGAGTATTTTTAATGTTGATTATAATCTAAAATCAGATTGATCATCATATCTGCTAGTTCTATACACATGAATTTAGTTAATTGCTAACCTACTAAATGAAAGGGTAAGCTTATATTGATCTAGATAGATAAATACGAAAATAATCATGAAAAGAAAAATTATAGTTAATTTCCCAATGTTTCGTTAACAAAGCCAATAAACACATGTTTCGCTGGCATATGGAGCTTTGATGTAAGGTCGAAGGTAAAACTGTAATACTGTACATGAATTCGCTATAGCAGTATACCTGGAGATAGAGTTTCACATACGATTGGACTGCTGACCAACTTATTCGAAGTAATTGATCCTCGTGTGCCATCTCTTTGACTTTCACAAGGAGCGTTTTTCGTTACTGAAGCAGGGGTAACTGGTATCTTAATGAAATGACTAATGTCTCTAGTCTAGATGAGAAAATAAAGTTACAAGTTTTCAATAAATAGATCAACTTTAACCATAAATAACCCAGCTAAATAAAAGTGAACATTTAAGTTAAAGCTACACTAAAGCTACTATAAAATGCAATAGAATGAATGGCACTAATATTTTAATAGAATAAAAAATTGTTTTCTATTTTATACCTTCAAATCTTTACTAGTATCCCCAGGATAGTGAGCAGGAAATATCGAAGTAGAAAATTTAAATTTTCGTCGAAGACATTCTTTTACCTAAAAACGTCGTAATAAAGTATTTACTATACGAGCGCATTAATAAAAGCTGCTATCTGTTTTTACAGCTTCTTATTAGCGCTGGATCCTTTCATTTTTTTGATGTTCAGAAATGTAAATTAAAAAAATATGAAAAATTCAATAGCTGGTTTATTCGATCCAGCCTATGAAAAACTTACGTCACGATCGGTAAAGCAATGAAAGTAAAAGATTAAGAATCCCTATAATAGGCATACAATTTCATAATATTAGACAGCACTGGTTTTAACAGTACGGTAGTTACATGATATATCCTAATTATGGCTAATTCGTGAAACTGTCGGCTAAAACTTACTTGTGGACTATTGATGATCGTAAATAGATAGCCGAAAACAAGTTGATTAGTTGAGAAATATAAGATACCAAATATCCAGGATATCCCAAATAGGAAGATCAAAGAGGTTACGGCTTTTATTCCGACTCTGTTTTATGAAAGAACTAATTAATATTCCTAATATTTCATTTTATTAGTTGATGGAATTCGCTTATATATTAACACACATAATTATAATTATATATAGCTGAAGTTCTAAATTTGAATAGTTGGGATCATATACTGCTGTAGTTTCTATCATTACTATTCTAATTCTTAAAAGTACTCATAGTACTTAAATAAAACCTAATGCAGAAGTTCGCTACTTCTTTGCTTCAATAAGTAATTTAGATTAGAGTTAATTGGTAAATCCATCCTTTTTTAATTAGTGATTTCATATCATCACTGCTGAAAAACTTGTAAATTAAATTACTATATTTTAAAGTTATCTATTAAGGTATGTAAGTTAATTTCTATATTCTACCGAATTACCACACTATAACTTTTCAGTCTCTATTCGATCATTATTCTAATGGAGTAGACTATTTATATTCATTTTTAGCTAATAATGGATTACTTAAGCTTTTGAAGTTCGGTCTTTTGAATCATGGCTGTAATAGAGTAAAGGGATTTCATCGCAGTAACAGCAATAGCACAGTTACACTAAACATAAATTAGTATCAAAGAATATTGAAAATTAAATGGCAATAATCTATGTTCATATACTATATTAAAACACTGATGAAAACAAGCAATTACTCTTTGAAACTATCAGTAATATAGACTGAAAATTAGATTTATAATTATAAAGCAGCATTCATAAGCTACTAATCAGCAGGGCAATAAATCTTATGATGTGATACGTTACGCTAAATCAAGCTTTATGTTGTCGATTTAAGGAGATACAAACGCAAGGATTAATTATTTAATATTTTATAATCAAGCTTAAAATAAATCTTTGTACCGTAATTATTAACATGACAGGTCCAACGAAAAACCACATTTGACCGCTTGCATTCTTTATCCAACAACTATGAATTCATTTTCAAAATTTTCAATCATGTTAATAACGTTTTATCTTCGTAAGTAACATAAACTAGAAGTATGTCGCCGCTTACTAATCTGAATTCTGATATGCATTTACATCCGTGCCAACTGATATCGCAACAATAACTGCTGGAGGAGCTATAAAAATGCGATTAAAGGAAATGGTTCATTATAATTATAGTTATAATCTTATAAGTAAACCACAGCAAAGGTAAGATGCATGTGAGTAATTGAAACATAAGCGAACCAATTCACTGTGAGTGATATTAACAAATATTGAACAAGTTGTCTTTAATACAGAATCAAGCATCAGTTACCATATTCTATCTGAAAATATCAGCTGGTATAAAGACATTCTGACACTATTTCTCACAGCATCATAATTAATATGTAGGATAAAGACTTACACCATCCTAGTATAAAATAGTATCGCCTAAGTCTTAAATCTAGTTTTCGTCTCATCGACGTGATTTTCTGTAGTAATAATATCGCTTCCATCATCATCCACATTAAGCTAGCTAAATAGAAAAAATGTAGACCGATGGCGATAGCAATACACAAAGCCTATTAGCCCATAATATGATAAATAAAACGTTAGCCATCTTGAAAATACTAGTGACTGCACTTTATATATAGAGAGAGAGAATAGTTAACAGTATAAAACTAAATATCATCGACTACAAAATATTTATCCTAATTTAGTAAGTAGCAATTTACCGGTATCTCAGTCGCATTGATACCAACTAAAAATCCACAAATAGATGTCGCCATAGCGATAGCCAAATTGAGATGGATAAAATTCTTGATGGAATATAATTTTCTGCGTTGAAAAATTCGTCAGAGATTGAATACATGATTGAAACTGCATTAATACTTAATCATCAACTTTAGTTAACATCATCGTTGGCAATCTGTATCACTTAATAAAAATTCGACTATCACATTGTAAGTTATCTATGGTATTGTTTCCACTAAAAAGAAATTGAAACTGCTGTACTTACATCACTATTTTATATAATTTAGCATTGACCTCGGTATCATAGGAATTAACAGACATTGAAGTACAGCAATATACAATAAGGATAGGTTGATTTTATGTACGTGACTATACGCGTATAATCTATTTCATAATTGATTCAATTTCAAGTAAAAACGACGTACCTATTTCCAGTAAATATAATAATCATAATGATCAGAGATGACAAGGAAATAGTATAACCAACGTAGGTAAAACTGCGAAGAATACCATCATGAGTTGGACTTAGCGCCTATTTAAAACGGCAAATAGAATTATTGAAATCCTCTCTTGGTTTATATAAGTAATTTTTCGTCCGATTTATGTATCCTTGAAGTATCATAACAACTTCAGTAACGTACGCAAAGTCATTTACCAAGTTTGCCACTAAATTAGAATTAAGTTATAAATATTACCGAATTAACATTAATATTGAGACTATTTAAAGAAGGATACTTCTAAGATTGGATTGTTTGATTTAGCGTAAATGCAGAATTTCAAGTTTCAGATGATATACCTTTGAGCCTTGCATAATAACTGCAAAGCTCGTAAAATGGTTAGTCATACAACGGATGATAGTAGAATTAGAACTTTTTAATACTAGTCCATAATCTGACCAACAATTGGATCTAAAATATGAACATTGAAATATATCAGTTAATTAAGAAGCAGTGGTGGAAAGCAATCATTTCTTGAAGTGACTACTTTACAAGTTTACCCTCTCTCCCAATAAACACATTGATAAGCTGGTTTAACCTTGATAGAAATATTCATATGAGCTGTTAGTGCTAAACTGTTACGTTTATGTCATAAAATCATCATATGAGGATGAAAATATTATACGAACTTGATAATGCTGTACTTTAAACTTGAGCTCAACTGGTATATTAAACTTTTGATGGTGGATTGGAATTACTGAACAAGAAACAATATCGGTGATAACATTCGCAGACGCATTTGCAACGCTAGCAATGATTAATCATCGAAAGAGTTATTCAAGAATAAGAGCAGCCAATAGAAAGCGATTTTAGGTACTGCATGAAAAGTGTCAAGAATACCTGTGATTACTTCGATATTTTTGACTTCCATCTAACTTATAAAGCCGAATAACTATCGTGATCACCTCATCTAGAATTTTTATAGAAACAAAATCATACATATGTATATATTTAAATTGGATAAATGTCCACATTGATTAATATGAATTTCATAAAACTATTGTGCAATTCGGTGTACGGCCATAACAAAATTCATAAAACCAATTATTAGTCAGCAAGAAAAATTGTTTCTGAGATACTTGCTTTGTTAGCACAATACTTGGGTAAAAAATATGATGTATGGTAAAGTACTCTACCTAATTAAATAAGCAAGAAAGTAACTTTATCTTACCGTCATGAGAAAATTTAAATACAGACTTAGGAATGACAACTTCAGCAGTAGAACTATCTGATATCGATAGTCTAAATGTAGTTACCGCTTTTATATCAGATACTGGAGCGGATTTAATAATCAATTCTAGAATAGACAAAGATGACGATAAAATTACATGAACAACTTCAGTAGACAGAATTCAATTCTTAATAACTATTCTTTCTATGAACTATGCTGAAATTTAATATATCAAAGCTGAAAGCAGGCAGTTTATATCTTTAAGCTAAAATGAAAATATTATAACTTTTTGTAATCAATAACAATAAAATATGTAGCTGGGAGAGCCATAAAATAATGAACGCAATTAAATCTTAACAACATAAGAGAAAACTTTTCTCTGCCTAAAATCCATTATCAGATCTAGCTACCTGAATCCAGATTGGATATGGTGAATTCACCGACAATTTTTGCTTTGTTCAATTCTTTAGCCAATTTAGCATCGTGTTGTTCAATTTCTTCTACAGTAGATGTGAAATTCTAAACGGTAAAATGGAGAAAAAAGCTCTCATTAAGAGCAGATAACTGCTAATTTTTTATATTTACTAAAACTAATCACTGGGATTCCATTAAATATATGGTCTCAATAATTAACAATCATAAAGTATGCCATACATCATAAAAGTATGCCAATAAACTAAAATTTAACTCAATATGTAGCCTAACCTCGCTAGCTTCGCTGGTTGCCTTTGCCATAAGGCGATTATTTCTTGATCGTACTAGATTAATCTAGATCAAAGTAGAATTCAGAAATGGTATTATGGAATTTTTTATGCTTAATCATTGCTAGGCCAATCCTCTTACTGGTACTTTACTATCTTGATTTCAATTGCTAATATTAATCTAATACAAGTAAAATAGTGTTTAAAATTGATATATTCAAATTAACGTCAACTCTATTTTTCCTGTATTTACTAAGGCTAACATTCTCTTCAAGCTTAGCTAGCGTCGACTTAAAAATTTTTGCGTGCCATGTTCAAATTACTTGCTCTAGCTTATGTCTTTATTTTCAATTTAAGTAATGAAATAATAGACCCTGTAAATGGTCGAGTAGTAACAAAACAATCGCATTCAAACTTGAAATGATGTTTTTCAATTTATGATACCGCTGTAGGATGCATTATCGTCTCCAACGTCACTGACAAAATTGGTTCATAGCTTGTCCCTCAGTATAAACGTTTCTTTTTATTGAATAACTTATCTTGCGATATTTCTAGTACTTACCAAGTTAGAAGTTTTGTTTTGGCTTAGGGAATTAACAGCGTTGCCAGACGGATCTAGCGTCGTGCTTGGTGAGACTAAAATACGTAATTGAACAACAATTATCCCAGGAGCAAATGGTAGTCAAAATTCAGAGTTACTTAATAAAGTACTTCAAAAATAGCATTATAACAACTTTGAATTCTTGTTAAGCTTCAATTCATCGTATCTATTAGTTTTCTTACCAACACTTGTACAGTCTAATAAACTATCCTACGACACGATCTGTTCAGGGACTACACAATTTATTATCAATTATGCCCCTTGAAGCAGTGTGGGACGCAAAGATACGTCCATTCTACTGATGAGTGCATGATTTTTATATGCACCAAGAGTTCAGTAGCTAGAATGTACATAGATAAATTCCGATGCTAATGTATAATAACGATTTAAGTTCTGTAGACTTTAATCGTGTTCTATCCTGTTTTACTCCACATTCTACTAGAATTATCTTATCCATCAATACTACTACGGTATTCTTAGATTAATAAAAAATGCAATAAATAGGTTTTATCTCCATAGTTTTTATTGCACGACTGTCATACCTTCAATATACACCACCACTATAACTAGCTAAAATAGCTACAAATAGTCGGGATATTTATGCTAGTATTTCAAGCCAATTAGACTTATGAGCCTTGCAAGGTTCGTAATTAGTCTAGTGCTACTGTAGAGATATTTTATTGACAATTAAGGAACATTCCCTCAGTACTTTCGGTCTATAGAGTTGTACAAGAATCGTTAGTTAAGGTTAACGTTATTTGCTAAAGCAAACTTGATAGGTTTTAGTTCGAGCCCATTAATTCAGTAATGGATGGGGAATTTCTTAATAAAGTGTGGCAATCAATTGGGGTTGGCTTAAAGCTATTTCTTCTAAAACCATCAATCTTATGCCTTACCTATAGGATATCTCTTGGACTGTTCCGATGGAGCACTAGTTATCGAAGCACTTTTATATCGATAGACTGATTCTTTAAAGACGCAGCTATGATGACCATTGGATGCCGAACATGAGCTATAATCTTTAACTTTTTCATTGTCTAAATTGAAGGATTGATTAGCTTAATGTTACTATTGTAGGATAGAAAAGATAGAGGGGAAAATGGCAAGAAATACAGTTATCTCTAAGATAAAATTATTAAGAATAAATACGAGATATGACCATATTGGGATCATCTGTACATAAGTAGTAAGTTTACCGTTCCTGTAAAGTTTCATATCTATTCTATTCTAATGTTTGAGAGAGTAGACCTAACACCATGATGTTTTTCAATAAAGCTTAAACAGCCTCACCTGTTAATATAAGATCAATCATATCTTCAATTGTCGAATCCAAATGAGCAGAAGGTGCTACTGGATGAATATTAGAAGTTGTAGTATCTGCAAGGATACTAATGACATCGGTATCCGCGGAAATAGACGATTTAGTGCTATGTGTAGATGTTGTAGATACTTCCAAGGAGGTAATACTCAAGGTAGATCTCGGAGATGAATAGGATATTAAAAAGTTTGTGAGTGCATTATGTTTTACAGTATTATCAAAATTGGCGAAGTTCTGTGGATCTATCAATCGATGATATTCTGCTGTTAATGATCGATCCGAAGAAGAATGAAAGAGAATACTAGAACTTAAAGTGTTATAATATCGAGCGTAATCTTGACTCGATAAAGTCCTATCATTGGAATTAACTTGGTAAGTACTGAATTGGGATGAATGATGAACATTTGATATTAGCTTATGGCTGCTACTAACGAATCCTAAATCTTGTCTACTTGTTGATAATAGACTTGAGCCAACTGATAAAACTCCATCTTTAGGATGCGTCCTAGAATTGGATAAATTAATATGATTTAC